GTCATGTTCTCAAGGCCAAAGAAGAAAAGGACCATCCAGATGGCATAGGTGCACGTGTAAAGTTGTGGTATGAGGGGGTATTAGTATGTGAAGGCACCATTAACAGTGAACACATCTTGGAGCAACAAATGATGCCATTAAGATGACATTTAAAATTGTATGTGGGTATGTGCTTGACTGGCCTTCATGAAGTCCAGACCTGTCTCTTCCTTCGACTGGCCCTATCACCAGGAGATCGTAAGTTCGTTCCCGGGTGACGCTACTGCCATCCGTGGCCGGGAGTCCAAGAGAGCACAACTGGTCTCACTCTCTCTGGGTGGGTAGGATGGAAAAACCTGGATAGCGATTTCAATATTCGGATACTGAACTGGAAACACATCCCTAATGAATACCCCTCTTCCAATTTCTGGTCCAGGCCTACTCCATTCATTCGTTTTTTTTGGAAACAACACTTGACTGGTTAACACACAGCAGCTTCCTATGTTTCAGAGTCTTCAAATCTGGTAATATGACCATGGCAGTGTCAAGAGACTAATTCCAGAAGGCTGACAGACATGTGATACTCAGAAAAGACTTTGTGTCTGGTAGAGCACTGGTGGCAGGGCATCCTTCTTCCAGACGAAGCGTCCTGCATATCAGCAGTAAATCAGGCAGTCCTGGGAGTGTTCTGCAGCTAAACAGACTTAAGCATTTGGTAAGAGGAACAATAACAATAACGAGTCCAAGGCGCACTGACTAACAAACAGACTCTGCTGTCTCCCTGCCAAGCTGCCTCCTAAAGGACACATGACACATGCTGAGAAAAGGGGTTGCGTAAAACTAAAGTCACTTTGCAGCAGCAACACAACAGATAAACAGTGACACTGCCTGCCAGTGAGAACTGCGCTACAGATTTAACTCTACGCACCACTGTGCTTGCACAGTTTTCACATCAAGAGTACATAAGAAACCAGTTCATTTTATTCCTTAATCAAAACAGTGAGACCATCTAGGATGTGTTGAAAGTGTGTTTAGTCCCAAAACAGTCAAAATGCCAAAATAAGGACAAAAAGTCTGAACAAATTTAAAAGTATCTTTTTAATAATAACTAAAAAAAAAACTTTAGGTGATTTCAAGCAGCCATCAGCTCTAAAAATAACATGCAACTACGTGAATGCTGTGCAAAAGAGCCTAAAACAGAAAGATAAATTCAACACCATAGGTCTCAGGACTAGCACTGTAGCTGTACACATGACCCCATTTCATTACATATTGGTTTTCAACCTCTGTTTTCACCCTCAATGTCACAAAGCATATCATGATCATGAAATTTTCCCTTAAGATTAATTGCCATAAAAATAATAGTTATTGTATGCAAGTATAAGAGTGCAAGCATTTCAAAAGTCCATAATTCCATAACTACTAGAAGGGTCATTGAGGTCATGTGTTTAAATTGGGTTTTATTATTTAATGATCATTCCATAACCATGCCGTACTAGTTGACGACATAGATTATATAATTCACAGTGTTTTACTGTAAAAAGCACTGGATTTCAAATGAATTACTTTCACACGTGAACACAAAAAACATAAAAGCAATTATGTTCAACCCTATACTTTCTCCTAATAGCTGCCCAAGTGTTCACAATTCATCTTTGTCAAGATATAGTGTCATAATTACCATATATTTGCAGCCAACCAAAACCTTATAACAATTTCTGCCAGTCTGTATTGTCTGACCTGTTCCATTCTGTTGCTACTGTTTTATTCTGTTCTGGATAGCTGAATTTGCCAGTTATTCCAGATATTCTGTATAAATAAGATGAGGTGAGTAGACTACTGACTAACCTTGGCTGAATAGCAGGAAACAAAACTCCTCACGGTCTAATATATACAGTCAAAATTACTACCATGGCCTTTCCAGTTAGAAATACTCAATTGAGGTAAGGGGGCTCCTGAATACCTGCTGCCAAAACAAAGCCTGACTCGCCGGAATAGCAAGAAAAAAAAAGATCCAGCTCACAGAGATGAAACACAGTCTAATGCTCAAAAATTACCGCTATTTGCTTTAAGAGGTAGATATACTCAGAATTTTCTTGTGCCTTGTACTATGATCTGATGTCACAATGTCACACTAAAATTTAGTAAAAGTCAGGGAGCAGTAGACACAGATGATCACAACTTGAAAATTACAATGGTCAATATGAACATCTAAACCTTTCTGGCGTTACCAATTTGTCTGACCGATCTACCTATCCAGTTTCCTAGCCATCAATATTTAGTATCTCCTAACTGACGACAGACACAGCTCAAGCTCAGTCACTCTCGAGACCAACAATTCATTGCCATTTTCTACCTGCTACATGGGAGGTAGGCAGGTTAGCTCAAGTTCTCAAAACTTCATGGTAAAAAATGTTAAGTTATGGACCTTTAAGCACCATCAATAACGCTTCTGAGACAGGAGACAACTGACCTGCTGTAGAATGAACACATTTCCTTGACATTTACCATTACTGATTTAACCCAGTAAGAGCTTTATTCTTAAATCTCAGACATAAATGCATGATGATAATCATTTTTAAAACTGACAGCTGCCAGATGCAGATACAGGTAAGTGTTCGCAGATGTTCAACAACGTATGCATAAAAGATGAAAAGAAATACATCTTTCGGCATGAACACTGGCAAGGACACTGAACCTGAAAGCAAGCAGTAAAAAGAGACTTTTTAAGACCCACCTGACCTGACCTGACCAGACCCGACAAAGCACTAGAGCGCTTCAGCAGGTACTGAAGGTTAAGATGACAGTTCACGCAGTACAGGCTGTGAAGATATTAAAACCTATTACAGCAGTGTGTCTCTTTTCCGTTTCAACCACAAATTCAATGCCTCCCAAAAGGTTCACTGTCATTGTAAGCTGTTGGCTAGACGGGTGTAAAGTCCCCTGGCATTGGGCTGTGGAGCAGTGGAACTGTGTTCTCTGGATTGATGGAGCTCCATCCAAGACCTTTGGGATGAGTTGGAGTGGCGTTTGTGATCCAGAACTAAATGATCCAATATCAGTACCTGACCTCACTAATGTTCTTGTAGCTGAATGCAATCAAACCCTTACAGCAATGGTCCAACATCTAGTGCAAAGTCTGCTGCTAAAGCAACACAGAACATCAGAACACAATAAATCCTGTCTATGTGACCTAAGAGATGGACACAATTGTCTCTCATCATTCTGTCTGACAGGGAGTCATCCTTACCACTCAATGAGAACAGAGCTTCTTTATAGTCTCATTTCTATTCATTAGACCATTTCCTAAGAGCCATATTTTACATCAATGACTTCCCCAGTAATGTGTAGTAGAAGTAATAAGCCTTTGGGCCAAACGGTTTAAGATCTCAGAGAAAAAAGCAGATCTTGGAAAGCTCATCTCTGCTTCCATCTACAAAAGGAACATAATCAGGGCCCTGTCTTAAAATCATCTTTAACTTTTGTCCCTTATATGTTTATTCGGTGAGGTCTTTCAGAAACCCCTTTCCGAGGTGCAGAATAAATGCAATTGAAAGGCCTGAAATGAACAGCACCCACTTTTTACTAGTCTAATTGAAAGAAAAGACATGCTGCCTACACCTCCTTAATTGTCTCACCATTGTGTAAGCTTTAGCCAGCCTTACTATAAATAGATTCTGCCTTCACGGAAAATATAACTGATGTGTAAAATCTGAGCGACCCAAATTAGTAACACGTACAGCAAAGAGGAAAAGCTGCAAACAGAACACAGTGAACAGCCTTGCTCTGTTTAATTCCTCAAAAAAAAACAGCTCAAGGTCGTGGAGAACCAAGGAACATTTAGAAAAAGTTGAAAGACACTGATTGATGGTGTAATTTGTTAGAAAAAGTGATTATTCTATATTTCTCCCAGCAGGATGCCACACAAGCACCTCCTGATCTGGTGATGTGGCTTCCTCTGTGTTGAAATTGGCTGCAGAGTCCGAGCACTTCTCCTAATCTCCCCCACCATCACTATTCATAGAGTAGAGTGGGTGTGGTGGGCAACAGACACTTAAGTGACGCTTCAACTAAAGTCAAGAACATGTTGCTCAACGTTGCATAGTGCTACAGAGAAGTGGGCTAAACTGCACTATATCTTCTGTTATTAAGAACATCCACTTTTAAACTAAAGCACTTCTGTGCCTAAAAGAATGTGTATATCACCGTTTCTTCCAAACAAGGACAGTAACAGTGTACTGACACAAAAAAATAGTGACGATCCTAATAGATGCAAAAATACAATAACAAATCTACAAGTTAACAGATAAATGTCAGTAACTAGGTATTATGCTGGCAACATTTTATTATCAGAATGCACAGCAACAGTAATAATCTAGTATTCTAATAATTAAAACAGTGGGGCTCATTCACTAATATCTTCAAGTTTTTTTCTTAAATTTGTTCTTGAGAAGGTCCTAAATAAAAGTCTACGTCAGATTCGTGATGTGTTATTAAACCAGAGAATTGTTCACACCTTTGCGCTCGAGTGTAGATTCTGTTCTTACCTAAGAACAAATCCCACATAAGAAAACACTGATGAATCTTCAGGAAAACTGAGTAAGTGGGTTTTAATGGTTGGTGAAAAAGGCCCAATAATCACTTGCATTGTTAGTACTTTTTGGCATTAATAAAAACATTTTATAACTATTTTCTTGCTTTTATTTTTCTTTACTTGGAAAAACTATTAAACACTGGATAATGTGTTATCAAGAGTAACATCACAGCTGTGATTTGGTTGCAGATTTTGTTTGGTTGTGCTTTGTGATGCACTGTTTCTCGTTTTGTTTTTAAGTGCTCTTCGTAAGTGTGTCATGTAAAAACAGCTTCATTCAAAGTTAAATAAATGGATCTGTAAAGATTACGGCTAAGACTGAAGGTTTTCACGTCGATACTGGAAAACAAGTTTTTACATCGTTCCTTCTCTAGTAACAGAATCTGATGTATCTGACCTGAAAGCAACTGAATGGACTGGGACTTACTGGTCATGTCTAGTGTCTGGGACACTACGGTCCATTCTGAGTTTGTCGCTCTCCACTTGGTTGAACTTGTTTCGGGCGTAGGGATCCTGTCCCGGCCTCACCACTGTAGCTCCCACGTACAGGTCCTGGTCAAAGTCCTGCCACCTCACTTTGCCTGGAAAGTCCATACACATACAGGACGTCAGGGTACATACTGTACACAGCTAGGCACTTACTTTCTTGCAACATAAATTCTCTAAGTAAGCAGATGGTTGTATGTTCTAAAGGAAGGTTGAATGTTTGCATTGGCTTCTGTCCATGTAAATAAATGAATTGGCTCTTGCAGCAGAGGATAACTTCCACTAATCTGTTCCAGTGTGTGAGAGCACAATGACAGGATGCATCATTAGACACCACCAAGCTGTCAGACACTTTCCTTCTCACTATATGGTACTAAAGCAAGGCTATTATAGCTCTCCACAAAATCTCCACATACGTAAAAGCACTAATGCCAGTTTGCATGACAAGAATAAGCAAGAAAGTGGGCGGTCTATTTGATTCCTTTACATATTGGTAACTTAGAAATATTTGGAACTCATACTTAGTATTTAATAAGCCAAACACAAGAAGAAAATGGTTGAAGAGGCTTAGACAAAATAGTGGGCTGCCAAGTGGCACAACCGTCTAAGCGCTGACCCTATTGTCGGTAGACTGACCACGGTGATCCATGGCCATCCATATTTGGGAGTCCAAGAGTGCATAACTAGCCTTGCTTTCCCTGGGTGGGTAGGATAGCCAGTGTGGGTTACCTCCTCCAAGAGCATTCAACTGGTATCTTAGCACCAGTTGGAAAAGATGTGGTGGTGCTTCTAGTCACTTAGAGGAAGCACATGCTATTTCTCACCCTCCGAGCTTGGTACCATCATGTGATGGGGAGATTTAGCAGGCAAGTGAGAATTAGCCACAATGTACAGGACACTCTCGCAATCCTATGTTACTGGAATACCATTCAGTACATCTCTTTTTCTCAGCAAAAATTAAGGACATTTTCCATGTCAGTGTGAGAAACATCAGTTGGCTCTATTATTGATTAATCAGAGAAGACAGCTGTGATGATAATTAGGTTTGTGAAACATACGATGGAGTTCAATTCTGTTATCACTCTTTAACAAAAGCATACAAGCAATTAATACAGCAGGCCTGCGGTAGCTGTCGTTTGCATTATAATTAGCCTGTCTGTCTGACAGTGATCCGCTACTGATGCTAACCATCCAGGAGAAAGCTAATATGACTCAATGGCTAAGGCCTAAAAAGGGTACAAAGTAAGAAGGACAGCCCTTCACACGCTAACATTATTCCAAAGAGAACTACCATTCTATGTACCAATTGGAGTTTTGCTCGTTATTGACACGGCACTTAAATCAATCAAGAGAGGAAGATGAGTCATTGCTGACCGCTGCCATTTGGACGACAGTTCTTTAACGAAGGAGGGTTAGTTAGCGCGATGGCCATGAGCGAGAATCACATCTCAAACGCTCGACTAAACACGATCCAAGGTAATTTGAAAACAGACCTCTAAAAGAAGCGAGGTTAAGATTATTAGAAGCACTCAGGAAACAGGAGGCACATTGAAGTAGGAGTCGAATGTCAAACTCTTTTTCTTTCAGAGCATTTACAGTAGCTGTTGTGTGGACTTGCTTTGAAAATGGAATCTAATTTATCTTCTATTTAAAGACATTTGTTGATTATGCACTTCAGTATAAGGTTGAATGCTTGATCTTGCTGAGATTTTCCATTTGAAAGGTAAAAACAAGAAATGCTGGCCTATACTTGAAATGGCATGACTCACAATCAAATCTAACAATATTTGTCGACACAGGATACAAGCTTACTGTGCCTACAGTAGCACTGTGTCTAAATAGAATCTGTTTTATAAATGCATAAATCAACAGCTATAGGGCACACCTGTTAAAATTGGCTTGGTTAATAGAGTTCAGGGGGTTCAGTGCTTCCATTAATTGCTAAACAGTCTCTGTCTGACAGTGTCAGATCTTGAATTGATGACAAAAAATGCAATTTACACAACTTAAACCCTAAATGTGATCGATCAGCCAAGGCGTGTTTCTTTAGTTTTGCAATGGAACTACAAGGCTAATGTAGACAACAAGTAACGGAAGCTTCTACCAAAAGCCTGGGCAATACTATGATATTTACCCTTGTCATGATAAATTACATCACAGTATGCTTTTATCAGTGTATCATATATACCGTTAGTATCTATGATACACTGAACTACCGTATGTTTAATTACAAAGAGTGTTATTAGTCCTGGTAATCTGGATTTAGTGCAGTGCAGTATGTGAACTGTTGAATACATATCACTGTATTTATAGCTTTTGATCGTGTATTGTACTCATCTGATGGCAGGTATATACATAGTGTTTGTATATCTCATGTGAAAACTTCTCAAAGTATTGTGACATTTTTGTCATATCTCCCCTCTCTACTTACACCTCAACAACTGAGATCATGCAAATTGCTTCACATACAGTGCCCTCCACAAATATTGGCACCTCTGGTAAAGATATGTAAAAGAGGCTGGAAAAAACCTTTATAGCTTATATTTTTGAACTTTCATTTAAAACAGAAACAAATATCTAACCTTTATTTGAAGTGCAATGATTCAAAGAAAACCTACATTTTTATCATGAAAAACATTTTTCTAAAATCTGTGTGCACCACAATTGTTGGCCCCCCTTTTTTTCTCCCTTTGTAATGATAACAGCTCTGAGTCTTCTCCTGTAATGCTTAATGAGACTGGAGAACACATGGCAAGAGATCTGAGACCATTCCTCCACACTGAACCTCTTCCAGATCCTTCAGATTCCGAGGTTTTTTCAGCTCATCCCAGGTTTTCTATGGGGTTTAGGACAGGAGACTGGAATGGCCATAGCAAAACCTTGATTCTGTGGTCAGTGAAACATTTTTGTGTTGATTTTGAGATGTGCTCTGGATCACTGTCCTGCTGGAAAATCCAAACTATGGCCCAGTTTAAGCTTCCTGGCTGAGGTAGTCAGGTATTGATTTTAGTTCTGCTGGTACTTGATGGAGTCTGTGATACCAACAGGAAACAGGAAGTCATGGCTGACCATTTAAGTGTTCCTAATTGCTCAGATGAACTTTAAAACATGAAATATAAATGATTATACAGTTCAGTTAGATTTTGCTCATAGGAATTTCAATGTGTGCCAACAATTTGGGCATACAGACTTAAGAAAAACATGTATTTCAGGATAAGATTTAGGTTTTTTTTAATTATTATACTTCAAATAAAGGTAAGACTTTTGTTAATATTTTGAACAAAAGACAGGAAAAAAAATAAGCAATACAGAATGTTTTTACAGTCTGTTTTGCTCATGTATACCAGGGGTGCCAATAATTGTGGAGGGCACTGTACTTGCCTCAAACTTTGTTGAGTTGTCAAGGACCTCAACAGAGATGCTGTACACTGACACTGCATGACTGACAGTGTAGGACATGCTGTTACCTATAAAAATGGACAGAAGCAGACAGAACTGTTTTTAGCTATGTAATGAACTTTTGTCCATTTTTACAGATATCAGATAATGTAATACATTTGCCAGCGTCCAACCCCAGTCAGACATGTAGCAAAGGACAGAAAATCAATCTGGGCATGTTGGGTCAAATGGACAGTGACAAAGCCCAGACAGAGCTGCAGTATCCAAGAGTGTCATCATTATCATGTGTAACACCTAAAGAGAGCACAGTGGAAGCTCTCTGGAACAGCACTTCTGAAGGACTCTCTTTTAAGGGGTCAATGGCATGTCCTGTGGTGGAGGGAGACAGAGCTGTCATCAGAGTAATTAACTGCTCAAGACAAAACAGAGCCGCTAGGCTGTGGCTTTCACAGTCCACCTCGACACAGTCTACTGCAAGATTCCTAATGCAGAGATGTGAGCACGTGCTCATGTGCCCGTATACAGCCACAAATGAAAAGCACAGGATAAAGAAATCACAATACTTCAAACATACTAACAGTCAAACAGACCATCTGGTTAATCCATGAGATTAGCAGAGCACCTAACACCAAACACTATAAACTACAAACAATATATATTTATCATGATAAATATCATAATATACTTTTCTGAGGCTATGATGGATGTAGTCAGTACTTAAAGAGCACTGACCAATGACATGTCTCATTACAAAGAGGGTGTCATTAGTTTGAGTGCCACTGAGTTAAATAAATAAGCCTGGTATTCATAGTTTTTGATATTTGTAACGTTGCAATATTGAGGGTGGATTCATGACAGCTTTTCCTAAGAAAAACTATTGAAAACAATCCTAAAGCAAACACTAAGAGATTCATTCACCAATAAAAGTTTTTTCTTAAATTTGTTCTTGAGAAAGGTCCTAAAAAAAGGCTATGTCAGATTCAAAACACATTCTTAAACTGCAGAATTGTTCTCACCTTTGTGCTCTTGAGTGTGTGTAGATTCTGTTCTTCCTAAGAACAAATCCCACATAAGAAAACATTGGTGAATGTCAGAATCTTTGTGAAAACTGCATAAGTGGTTTTAATAAGAAATTTCTTCTTACGATCAGTTGGTGAATGAGGTAGTGTTCTTAAATGCAATTTTAGTAAAATAAATAAATAAATAAATAAATAAATAAATACCTTAAATGTTTGCATTTGTAGGTTATACATTATTTGTCATGTAGACCATCAATATAATGTTACATTTTACAGATTACCAGAAATGATACCATATTCCTGTTAACCGGTTATTCAGTTTAATAACATCAGCTCCGGGCAGCTAGATGAAGTGCAATAAAATCAAACCAAATATTCAAAAACATTTAGCTAGATGTGGTGCTGGAGGAAAACAGCTAAAAGTCCTCCTTGGTTTATATTTAACAATTTTATTTTGTAAAGCCAGTTAGAAGTTACAGTTTAAGAGGTTTACCCTGTTAGTTCTTACAGTCTAAGACAAGCAGGAGACTGCAGTAAAGTTAAGAAGTTTTTTAAGAACTTTTTTCAGGAATACCACTTAGTACTAGAGGTAAAAGAGATAAAGAAATTTAGTAAGAATTTTCTTAAAGAATAACAATTTATCTTTTTTCTTAAGTAGGTAGTTAATAAAAAAAGGCACATTCAAGAAGATTTTCTTTTTTTAAGGCGTTTTTGTGAATCTGGCGTCCAGTTCTTTTTCAATCTTTTCCCACTAATCAAACCTCAGGAAAACAAAATATTGCAATGCATATCATTTATCTAGAAGTATTACACATTATACTTTTGCCATACCGCCCATCCCTACCACTAACTATATTCGCCTAATAAATTAGATCTGTTTTGTACATGGTTTATGAGTAATGGCCTATATAACGCACAGCGGTCATGTTTACATGAACATTACCACTCATAACAACTGGGAGGAGCAAAAAAAAAAGTAAAACAGGAAACCTGGAAACAATCATCTGGCTTTGTGCCAACATATAAAAACAAAATAAAATAACATACAAAAAAATGCGTAGAACACCAGGACAGGGAGCAGGTCGTACATGAATCAAAATGACAGTGTGTCAATGAAAGAACTGAACTAAACCATAATGTGCTTAAACTCACCATCACCGTCTAAATCCAACTATTTGCCCTAATCTCATTAGTCTGTACATGAAAATGTGGTCTTTGTTAGGAATGTGTTTTTTTTTTTGGTCTCTCTCTCTCTCTCCTTCCTTTAAGCCACAGTCATGCTACAAGTCTCTCAACTTAGATGTAGGTCTTCAGTAGATCTTCAAGATGCAAATTAATGGCTTCAACAAACATAAAACCTAATGCAAGGCTTTGCCTATAATTAGAAAACCTGTCCTCTCCTTTAATGAGGCAGAACTGCCTTTGCGTCACAAATCTCAACTGTTGCGACGGAAACGAGGTGCTGCTGCATGAATTCTTCACTCCGTACAAATTCAAGTGCCTGTCTGACCTAAATAACAAAAGGAACTGAGAAACTGACTATTGATAATCCCCTGAAACTGGGCCCTAAAGCAACAGCAACAGATGGGGAGCACATCATGTGGTATGCAACAATGCATAAATCTACTTCCCTACTTCCGCCTCGCAACTCATAGTTTAAAGTGTATGATGAACTAATTGGAGCAGCGCTCTAAGGGCCTCAGTGCCATAGAGAGAATGTGTCGTCATCTCGGAACATAAACATGCTCCAATTTCCATCTCTACCTCATAGTGCTTTTGCAAGAATTGCGGTGCAGACCATAAAAAGTCAACATATGCTGGCACCCAAGGCTTAAGACACAGTAAATTGGATCTGCTTTGGCTTGAGCATGCTGGCTCACAAACTGGTAAGAGCAGGGCTGGAGTTTCAGCCTGGGTGATCAGCCTGGGGACCGCCGTAACATGCTGCATTTTTCATCTTCCTGAGTGAGTTCATATACACGCTGCATACAGAAGAGAAAGAGCTGCAGGCCATTGAATGGAAAAACAGCAGAGACCCTAGCGTTTACAAGCCCGTCATGCAAGATAGCGAATTTCAGCCTAGTCCTCAAAGACCCCCAACTGAGTTCACATTTTTCCTCTATTGTAGCTGAAAACCCGGCTCAGGTGTGTTTGGAGCTTGACTACATCAAAAGACCCCTGCTAAAACAGCCCCCCCAACTTCATTACTGGTGGCTATGAAAGGGTTTAAGTTGTAGGAAGTTAATCTAGATAATAATGATAAGAGTGATAATATTACACACAGCTTTTCAGGTGCATTCTTACCAGGAGGAAGCGTTTCCATGCTATGGGCTCTGTCGTCTGTGTTGACAGGTGCTTGAATTCTGTTTGAATTTAACCCACTCCAGTCATCCTGTTAAGGGGTAAAACAAAAAGGAATAAATTAAGTACGTCAACAGCACAAAAAGCAGAAAAAATCAAAAATGTGGATTCTTTAAATGTTGAAAAAATGTACAAGGTAATAACTGATGTCTAAGGGTGTAACAATTTCAATATAGTACAAAATATAATGGCTTTTTTTTTGTCACTTCTAAAGTCTAGAGTTTGTGATTTTGGGGGGTTATTTTGGGAGGGCTGGCGCAGCAAGCGTTGAAAAATGTTCTACTTGAGAACTTTCATTTATCTGAGCCAAACCAATCTATGTACAAACCCAACTCCAAGACAGTTGGGATAGCAGGAAAGATGTAAATAAAAACATAAAGCAATCATTTGCAAATCCCTTTTCATCCGTATTCAATAGAAAACAAACAAAACAAGATATTTAATGTTTCAACAAATTAACATTATTGTTTTTGTATATATCCTTACTCTAAATTTGATGCCTGCAACATTTTCCAAAAAAGTTAGGACGGGGGCCTGTTTACCACTGTGTAACATTCAGTATTCCTTCGGGAACCAAGAACACTTTGTTGAAGTTGTTGGACATTCTTGCTTGATATAACATTTCAGCTGCTTAGTCAGCAGCACTGATAAACTGTGTTTACTGCCATGGGGTTTCTAAAGTATTCTTGAGCCTTTGTGGTTATATCCGTTACAGAAGCATGTTTTTTAATGCAGGGCCGTCTGAGGGATTGAAGGTCATGAGCAATCGATGCTGGTTTTCGGCCTTGTCCTTTATGCACAGAGATTTCTCTGGATTCTCTGAATCTTTCATTAATGTTATGGACTGTACATGCAGAAATACCTTCTAAATTCCTTCTAATTGCGCAATGAAAAAACTTTGTTCTTAAACTTGTAGACTATTCCCTCAGTGGTGACCGTACCTTTCATGAAAGCTCGTTTATATCATGTATAAACCATGTATCCTATTCATCTGTTTACCTGTGGAAATGTTCTAAAACAGGTGTTCATGATCCTTCCACAAGCCTCCCAGTCCTACATTGTCCCTGTCTCAACTTTCTTGAAATGTGATCAAATTTGGAATTAGCATATATTCACAAAATTCAATGGCGCTGATAAGATAAAATATTTAATGTCTCTTTGTGCTGTTCTCAGTTAAATGCATGTAAATCACTGCTTTCTGTTTTTATCTTTTATTTTACATACTGTCCCAACTTTTTTGGAATTGGGTTTGCTGTATATAATCACAATCAAGACATTGTAAACACCAACAACTTCAGAATCAAAAACTCTATAGGCCTGAAATAATGTGCATCCCTACCGATCTCACAGCTCGTGGAGAGCTGAAATAAAACAAACAATACAGTTAGTTTAAAGGCCAATCAGTCTATCAGTAGTTTAGGTAACACAGTAAAGATGTAAAGTCTAAGAGAACAAAAACACAAGCCTGAGTCAATTTCTCACAGATCTGCCTCTGTTTTTGAGATGAAAGTTCACTGAGCTTGTTGAAGTGTGATTTAAAAGTCAAATCAGAGAGATGTTCCTCACTTCAGGCCTGATCTCTAGAGTCAGAATCCCAGAGTTTGTTTAATGCTTTCCTTCTTTTCGCCTCAGTGTCAAAAGGGTAAGCTTTCTATTCGTATTGTGGGTTTATCATGTTCATATTCATCTAGTTCTTGTATACAAAGCCGAACAAGCAGTTTTAGCATAAATACCAGTGCTTTTTATCATGAGTTATGCAATGTTATGGGACCAAGTAGAATCATATACTAAGAAAATTAAAACATCAAAAAGACAGATCTGGGAAACCATAAGAGTGGAAATATCGTCTGGCAATTGGGTGGTTAATCCACTTTCAGCATTATCCAGTGCAGATTTCAAGCTGATTTATAAGCACAAAAGCCTTCATTTCTGCACTTGCCCAAGCGTAATAACCAGACTGGATGACATTTGGGAAATAAAATTCTACTAAACTCTGCACTCAAACAATAAAATCACAAAAAAAAATTTGAATTTGCTCATTAACTTTTACAAACTCATTCACTTTTTGAATTTTTCATTTGTTCATTCACTCCAGTCATCAGAACTGCTTTAAAAGTTGTGCCAACACTTAAACTCACAACTGATAAACTCAATGTTGATAGCAGATTCTTTGTTCTCTTCATTGTGGAATTCATAGGCCCCAAAATATAAAAACATTTAAATCAATTTCACTTCAAAATTAAGCTAAATTACTTCTAAGGACTAACCCTGGATTTTGGGTCTCCCAACTGGGATCACTTTTTACTGGGATACAACTCATGCTGTTTGCCTAAACTGCTCCAGGGCAGGCTCAGTTTAGGATTTAGGATCATAAACAGCTCCTGGTCCAATCAGGGACAGACTTCTGACGGAGGTGGACCCCTTCGGTCCTTTACAGTTCCCTTTAAAACAGGGAAATCAAGTCAAACTACATAGATATCAAGAAAACAAAGCAATTATTACTCTAATAGGTACCAATACAGTGGCAATGGCAACAGCATCGCTTTTTACAGCTATACATGCTTTCCTTTTTACATATTTACAAAGTGTGATTTCTTTTTCTTTCTTAAAAAACAAGCCACTTGACTCGTACTGATGTTTCTTGCAATTGGCTGTTTGCCATAAATGTCATGCTTTCAAGTATATGCAGATGAGAATTAATCACAGCTTGACTAAACCAGCTGGATTAACAGAGAAAGATGTTAATCACTGTCGTAAAAACGAGTTAAGTGCGGTTGCATTTGTTAGGTTTTGTGGAGCTGAAAGTTAGTCAGGAACATTGTCTAAGCTGAACGTGCTTCATGAGACAGACTCCAGGTTAAACTGATGGTAGAATAAGGTGTCCTGCATACAGCTAGTGTGTCTGTTCATCCAGAACATTTACTCTTTAACACAGTATTATATCAGCAGCAAACATCTGTCACATGCAGTCTGTGTAGGACATGCAAGTGAAAAATAATCCTGTCAATAATGCTAAACGGCACTAACCTTGACACCTCAAACAAATGCACCAGTGGAATCTTTAAGTACTCTAAAGTAGTCTTACAACATGTAAGTACTCTTAAAGGGATTTTCCTCAGTCACCTCTTTTATGCAAATTTTTAAAAATATGAAATGAAAAACTGGAAAGAAAAGCCTTGAATTAAAAGAGCTGAAATACAGGCTAGCAAATGTCTATTTACACTTGGATGAGCTGGAAAATTTGGTTTATAAATAAAGGAGAAATGTGAAAAACGTAATGGAAACAGATTTTTCCAAGTGCTGCCATAGCGGAAACGACAGTCATGTGTTTGGCACTGAATCCTCTCAGAACTGTTTGCTGAGGTGGCGTTCGCAGGGGTGGGTGACGGCAAAGAGGGACAGGGACAGGCCTCATTAAATGGGCCACTGCCCGCTCCTCCCGGCATGTCTGAACTGTTTGGGCTACAGCCATGTATAGTTGACAGGGGGCTTTCAAAACTGCTCTAACTGGAGCTACTGAAGGTTCGAATGCCTCCGATGTATATGGCACATACAGTGAGTGAGACTTTTGTTCACTGCAAGCATGTCACGTCATTTTCATGAGTTGATGGAAACACTGATTTGCATTTTCTTTTACCAACTTTTTGGAAATTCAAAAATACTTGGATATCTACAAAGGGCGAAGATGATACATTTCACATACTTGTCATTGTAAACTAGCGTTACCAAATGGCTTTGACTGATCACACACCATCAGTACTGAAGTAAAATCTACAGATATCCAGAAGCTACACTGTAAAACCTACCTGCACATCTTAAATAATAAGTTAACACAACTTGTTATATTAACTATGTTACAGAATGTGACACAGTTAATGTAATGTAATCTGAAAAATTCAGACTAACTCAAATGAATTGTTGAGAGAGTAACCCAGTCATTTTGAGTAAGATTGTTTTTTTTAACATATTTTGAGTTAGGGTAACGTTATTTAAACGTATTATATTCATTATTTTCATTCAAATTGACTTTACACACAAATAAAGTCATACAATTTTCCCCTTTTCTAACTATATATCCACACCTGCAATGAATGACAGACTGCTTACTTTATGTATTAGTCCTAGTTTTAGCCTATTCAGAACTACCTATGTTAAAAATGAAGGCTGCCAAATACATGCAGTGATTCAGTGGTTAAGCTGTTGGATTATTCTGTATAGACATGTCAGCTTTACTTGATAAATGTTCAGCCAATTCAACCTCCTTGAGTAAAACTCACATCATTCCTGCTGGCTCTTGGTATCACACATTTGCATACTGGGCATGTCTTTCCACGTTGTTTACCCTACCGCCTGTGTGTCGTCATTCTCCCCAGCCTACCTTCCCTTGGGTGCCTACTTGTTTTAACTGTTTGTAACAGATTAAAATTAAGTTGGTTAAGACACTATTATAAAGTCTGTAACAAATTCATATTGAATCGCACAACGAAGGTCTAGTTTAGAGTAGCAATTAATTGAATTATTTAATTGTATTGAGTTAGTACAGCTTTTACATACAAGTCCATAATACTCAATTAAGTGTACAGAACAATAAATGTATGTTCTGTTCATACTCAGTTCAGGGAATTATTCAAAGTTCAAACAACTTGAATTAATTAAATGGTTTAACGCAATCAGTGTCCTCAAACCATCTGAGTTGACTTCACTCATCAGGTTCTACAGTGCACAAACAAAAAAGAGAATCACAGAGTAAGCAGGCAGGAGTTCTCCAAAGCCAGAGCATACCATGGTCCACAGTCAGCAGAAAGCTGGTGAAGATTACTCAACCCATGGCTGTAGAAAAAGCAATAATTCATTCATGTTGCCTGCACTGATAACAAATGGTGGAAAATACGGGTATGTAGACAATGGGGTAAGGGCCAAGCCAATAGGTAACAAACAACCAAAGAGTAAGCATGCAACAAAACACAGGGCTGGTAATAACTCAAAGAAAAGGCCGATGAGGAGAGCAGGAAAGGAGAGTAGGAAAATAAA